TGTAATCACTGCTCAACACTGTCCAAATATACAGCCAAGATATTGCAATGGAGTTTGGACTGGACAAATGGGCCACCCTTACAGGGGAAAAATAGTGAAAACTGAAGGAATCAAGATTCCCAATGGAATAACATCAAGAGTCTGGATGAAGAAGATCACTACAAATACCTGGGCATCCTTCAAGCTGACAACATCAAGGGCATTGAAATCAAAAAGAAGGTTAGTAGTGAATACATCATGAGAGGGAAGAAGACCTTCAGTTGATACTCAGTGGAGGAAATACCATCAAGTCAATTAACACCTGGGCAATTCCAGTCATTAGATACACAGTTGGAATAGTGAACTGGACTCAAGCAGAACTAGAAGCCCTGGATAGGAAGACCAGAAAAACAATGACAATGAATCATGCCCTTCATCCATGCAGTGATGCTGACAGACTTACCAAGGAGCATATGTGGGGATGGAATGTTGCAAGTACACCAGACAGTTGAAAAAGAAAAAAGGGCATTAGAAGAATATCTGAAGGACAGTGAAGAAGATGCAGTGAAGCTAGTATACCATGAAGGCTTACTGAATACTGAAGAGACCAAATTGGTCTACGAGAAAGACCATATGAAGAATAGAAAAGAGACATGACAAGGCAAAGTATTACATGGCCAGTACAAAAAAACTAGCAGGCAAAGCAGATAACTACAAGACCTGGCAACGGCTAAGAGCAGGCAAGTTGAAGAAAGAGACAGAGGGGCTAATTCTGGCCACACAAGACCAAGCCTTAAGAACAAATGCATATAAAGCTAGAATTGGAGACAGCAGAATACAAGAGAAAGAACTGGAGAAAATCACAAAATACAAAGACCTGCAAATAGAAGTAGAACAACTATAGCAAAAGAAAGCAAAGATAGTACCAATAGTAATAGGTGCCTTGTTTGCAATCCCAAAACATCTTGACTACCACTTGAAGACCATCAACATTGACAAAATCACCATCAATCAATTGTAAAAGGCAGCTTTACTTGGAACAGAGTACATCCTGCAATGATACCTTTATCAAAAACATCAAAAACAACATCTGCCTAGGTCCTTGGGAAGGATTTGATAGGTGGATAAAAATGCCAAATCCAGTCTAAACATCCAGCTGACTGTGCGACCAACAATAATAATAATATGATGGAGAAGGAGGAGCAGGAGGACAAGGAGGAATTGAAAAGCTAAGAACAGAAATACCTGTAGATGAATTTGGACAGTGTGCTGGAACGGACTTATGTAGGCCATGCTCAGGGAGATAAGCATGTTCTTAGCCCCCAACAGGAGCGTGAGAGGATGAGGCTGGCACTTCCCTAAGGAATTCACGGTTTGTGGCTGGCTGGCTTGGGAACTTGGGTTCAGTCTGGTGAGATTCTGTCTTGAGGTGGAAGCTAATAAACGGCACAGAACTGTATTTGCATTGTCTCTTGGAGTTCTTTGGGCTGAACCTGACAGACAGGCAGTAAAGGACATTTATCTAGTACTATTTGAGTGCTTCTCAGGAGCAGCTGGGTAGAGCTTGCTGGTATAAGTCTGTAGTTTAATAGGAATAAGGCAGCAGAGGGTAAATGAGAACGGTGCAAATTTTGCTTAAAAAAGGGCAATACTTCACTAAAACAACACTGATTAAGTTGTGCCTTGTGACAAAGGTAAAAGATACAGATTTGATCCAAAGATGCCTTTCATTTTCATAAGAAGACTTCTTAAACAAGAGCTGTTTGGCATTTTATGCCAGCACATAATGTGGGACAAATAAAAAAAAAAGTTCAAAGATGTTGTTTCCTTGCCAAAGAATAAAACTTGCTAATGATAGACTGTATCTATAATAGTACTCCATGAACTCTTAAGGAGTTCTAGAATAGCATTAGTGACTATTTTCCCTCTGCTGAGGATTCTGTGAACCCAACCTTATTGTTGGCTTGGAGGGAAGTGCTCCATGCCACAGCCCACACAATGCTAAATTCTAGAAACCACTCCTCAGGTAGTACTGGGTCAAGATCATCAACTAACATTAGATGCTCCACTTTGCAGAAACTGAAGTGTTTTTGTATGGTAAAACCACTTTTGTTGGTTTGTTTCATAATTTTACATAAACCAAGGAAATTCTTCTGTAGCCACAAATTCTCTGACCCAAAGGATCTTATTGGGAAGGGTGCATTTATATTTATCCACTTTTTTCCAAAAATATTTATTTTAGGTCAGTGTACAAAATATGCTTTCATTATACCTTAATGTTGTATTCATTTGTTTTTATGACATATGGCTGTCTATACAGATGAGTTGTTAGTGAAGAATAATCTTAGGAACTTCATACATTACATTTTTTAAAAAATTTCCAATGGAAATAAAACATCACCTGCAATGCATAAACTGAAGCATAATTGAAAATTTCAAAATGTTATACCTATCACTTTATTCTTCTTTCCATTTTTTATAGGTGTGCAGAGCAAGCTTTCAATGTGCTGGTTTGTACAGTCTGAATGTTCATTCTGTTAGGGAAAAAACAAAACATATTATTTTATTAACCTATATAAGAGAGCCAATTTGGTGTAGCGGTTAAAGTGCTGGCCTTGAAACCTGGGGACTGTGAGTTCTAGGCCTGCCTTAGGTATGAAAGCCAGCTGGGTGACTTTGGGCCAGTCACTCTCTCTCAGCCCAACCCACCTCACAGGGTGCTTGTGGGGAAAGTAGGAGGCAGGAGTATTAGGTATGTTCTCCACCTTGACTTATATATAAAAATGTGGGGTAAAATAATAATAATAACAACAACAACAACCCCCAGAGAGGTACTACCCTGATGTGGTTGTGGGGCTTGAGAGCTCCAAGCAGGATGAGAGCTATGCCAGAGGTTCAATCATACTGAACAGGTCTCATCAGAGGAGCCAGACAAAGAGTGTCTCTCCCATAAACAATATGGTGAGACGAAATTTACAGAAACCTATGCTGGATCGGTCATTGCCCAGGTCAACAAGGACCGTGCTAAGTATTCTAGTTCCTGGACGTCTGGTGACAAGTGGGCTACAGGACTCAGGACTGTTGGCTGAGCAACCAGAGCCAGCAACTGCAGAATTACTGAAAGAAAAGTTGTCTACCCGTCGCAAATATACGAAGACAGAAAACAAAGAAATAATGATCTACTATTACAAATCATGACCATCGAGAAGAGGATATCTGAAAAGAATGCACCACTTCTGGAAAGAACAACATCCAGAATCAGAAATAACAGAACAGAGGCTAGAAGATCAACGTC